CTTAGTCTTGAAGGTTAACCAATCTTCAGTTGCATTAAATTACTTTCTAGGTCTGTAATATTTCTACCCTTCATGTGCAAGGAACTGTTCTGGTGGTGCTTTTAAGTAAATATTATACATATCACTGTAGTACGTGGACATTGAGATATAGATGTTTTAAGCAGATGGCCACTTCCTTTAGCTTGTGTAATAATGCCTCTCTGACTCCTAATGGAGATTTAGTCTCTCACAGTTTCTTTATATCTGTTTGTAAATTATTAAAAAAATAAACCAAATGCCTTCAGTAAGCAACGTGTTCAACATGCTTTTAAACAGCTCATAAAGCTATCACATCTTCAACCACGCAAAAAGCTGAATGATAAAAAAACAAAACAAATATAAGGAACGCATTTGCTCCCCTGTTGAGAATAGGGCAGAATTCTAAATTGACTATGACTAGATCATTATTTTTCTTACTAACACACAAACTTAGGCTTTCTTGGCTGCGTGATATAATCTATGAGTGTCAAACTTCTGGCAGCACTGGAGTTTTGCAGGAATGCAGTCAGCCGATGAGCAGAATGGAAACGGCTGGTTTCCAGGGCGAGGGCATCAAGTGGCTGGCTCTGCTCTAAAGAGAAGCCTGCAGGCAGGGCCAGCATGCCATGACCTTCTGCTGTTACCTCATTTCCCCGGGGCCTGTTATCTTGTTTATCTTGCAACAGAGAAATATGTCAACTGATACATTTGAAACGACATTACGTATGTGTTTATTTATTGCAGAATTATTTGTCATTATAAAAGGATGGAAATAGAAAATTCTATCAGTAGAGTTCTGGTTAACTGAACTACGGTACATTCATACAACGGAATACCATGCAACTGTCAGTACAAAAGAATGAAGGATGTTTGCATTCTGATATGGAAAGATCTCATCGTGCACATGGACTTTAGGATGATTTGTGTATAAAAAATGGGAAAAAATAAACGAGGAAACACACGAAAGTGGTAATACTGGCTACCTCTAAAGAGAGAAACTGAGAGCCTGGGAATAGGAATGGAAAAAGACTTCACCATATGTCTTTCATACCTTTTATATTATCTATGGTTAGTGTGTCTTACCTATTCCAATACACACACACACACACGCACCTTTTTTCTCCCCACATAATACTTTTTCTTAGAAATATATATATTTGTGTGTGTGTGCCTGGCCGGTACAGGGATCTGAACCCTTGACCTTGGTATTACCAGCACCAACCTCTGCCCAAGTGAGCTAACCAGCCAGCCCAGAAATAATGTTTTATTGTGGGAAAATATACATATTTATTTTAATCATTCATAAATATACAATTCAGTGACATTAAATATATTCACAATGCTGTGTACCCATCTCCACTTCTATACCCAAAACATTTTCATCATTCCTACCAAAAACAGTAACTCCTCATTCCCCCATCCCCCAGCCCCTGGTAACCTCTATTATACTTTCTGTCTATAAGCTTGCCTATTCTAGGTACCTTGTATAAGTGGAATCATACAATATTTGTCCTTTTGTGTCTGGCTTATTTCACTCTCCCACATACATTTTTTTTTTCTAAAGAAAACATCTACCAACTGGATAAATAAAGTTGTGAAAGTCTGAAAGGTTTTTTCACATCTTTGGAAACAGAAAGAACAGATCTTGTGAAATGTGCTGACGTGCCTTGGACAAGGTAGCTTGTTTCGTAGAAACCCCATTGTAACTTTTAAAAGATTAACTAGTTTCCCAGCATGCTAATACCCTCTAAATCTCAGAAAATGAAATCAACTAGCCACCATTTCCAACGAGCCTTGGCTCATATAGGGCAGGGCTCTTTAACCAGGGCCCCTACGGGCCTTCGGAGGGTCCATGAATCTTTTCTGAAATTGTATGCAAATTTGTTGTGTGTTGCCTTTCCGGAGAGATGTTCTTTAGCATTCAGAGATTTTCAAAGTGATTCATGATCCATAAAAAGGCTAAGCAACATTGACAAATAGGATAATTAATGCTGTTCTCTTCCAGAAAACATATACAAAAGCCATTTGTTCACCACCTAGTTTGTCTAATTACATGATTAATGAACCCACACTAAAAGATAAGTCTCTGACATAGGCCTTATGAAAGAAGTCTGTGGCTTAAGAAAATGACCCTTAAAATTTCCATACTTAGTAAAAATTATGCATTTGATTTGGTGGCACATAGAAAAGACCATAGCATTAGTGCATGTTAATACAAAATTTCCTTTTAAGGAGGTTGAGGTTTTTTCTATTCATATAAAAAATATTGAGCAACTACTATGTGTCAGGTAGAGTCTAAATGCTCAGGAGGCAGAGTTAAATGAAAAAATGTCGCTGCACTTATGGGGTTTGCATCTTGGCAGTAGGGTTTAGATAACAGTGAAAAAAGAAAGGACACTTCATATAAGTGCTTCAGTGAAGTTGCATAGAGAGTGCCTGGAGATTTCACTTTGAGGTAGGCTGATTGGGGAATTCCCTCTGGGGAGAAGAAGGGTAAGAATGAGCCAGCCAGGTAAAGAGCTGGGAAAGGGACATGTCAGGCAGAGAGGGAGCAGCCAAGTGCATGGCTGGAGCCGCAGGTGAGACAGGAGGTACTGAGTGCTCAGGTGGCATGCATCCACCTCCAGAGTGGCCTTTCACTAGCCATTGACTCACTCCTCTTCCTCTTCTAGCCACAGGTCTTTACCCACTTTTACCTCCCATCCATCCTTTAGCAATCAGCGTGATTCCAGCCCTCAAGGTTCTCTCTCACTCCTACAAAGTCCATTTGAGCCCTTGATGCTGTCACTGTCATGTCATGGAGGCAAACACCTCAGTGACCCAGGTGAACATTGAGCTCCTCTAGGAGAATCTGCACAACTGCTCCTGGGTGAATGCTGTCATGGGCAGGAGGGCACAGGGCCAATCCCAGAGGCTGGGGCAGGCAGCGTGGCCATTTGGGCTGAGCCTTACATTCACAAGGATCCTCAGATTTACATATCGCCAGTACTGTCACACAGGGTATTACCTCATTTGTGTTAAAAGTGCTACTTATTAAACATTTAAGTATTCCATGTATATAGAATGTATTACTATACCATAATTTTGCTTTGATATATAACCTGGTACACAAAAATGGGAAGTGGATTAGGTGTCTTCTAACTTGAAAGACTCCCAAATATAGAGAATGAGTTTTAGAGGAAGGTTTCTTGTTATCAAATCCTGCCTGTAAATCCTAGCTCTATAATATCTTGGCTGGATAACTTTTGGAAATCTTCTTTTTTTTTTTTTTTTTTTTTTTTTTTTTTTTTTTTTTTTTCC